GAAGTGCAAGATGCGATACCTATTATTTGGTTCATTTATTTTTACACCACCGTCCCAAGAACGTGACACAAAAATTGATGCAAAATTGGGGGCGCAATTTATATCCTCAAAGTGGAAGGAAAAGTGATGAAAGTGTTGGCGTCGTGCTGCGACGTTAAATCAAGCGCTTGTTGGGAGGCAACCCAAATTTTTTTTTCTTTTATTTTATTTTACTGTGTTAATATTATTTTTTTTTTGTAGTATTATTTTTGAATTTTGTAGGAGTACGAGCATGGAGTCAAAGCTAATAGGCATGTGCAAAAGCGAGCAGGTGGTTTAAACTTTGTGTGAGGTACCCGCACAAGGGATCATACCTGGAGAAGTCTGAGTATCCCGTGAGCTGCTAATTCTTCGGCCTTTGGCCTACCAGTGAGTCTCTTTTACCCTCTATTATTTATAGTGTGCATTGAGGACATTGCACAATTTTAAGTGTGGGGTGAGGAGATTGTCTGAGTGACTTTCTATGCTATTTGAGTTGTGTTAGTTTAATTGAATATTTTTTTTTAGAAAAACGAAAAAAAAAATTAGACTTTTTCCGACGATAGATCTCCTAGACAGTTTTCTTGAGGGATGTAAGTCTAAAGAGAAAGGACAAAAAGATTTTCTTTGTAGATAGTGTAGCAATTCCCCCTTGGTTTTTCTTTATGCCGCGGTTCTTTTCCAAGGGTTTTGTTTGAACCGGGTGTAGGTAGTTTGTTTTTTTTAGGAAGAGAAGCCATGGTGATGTGAATTGAATTGAATCAATATCTTCTAACGTTGTCATGCCTTGAGAATAGTGAGTACTTTAGTTGTGACGCTTAGGCTCAATTTTTTACTCTTGTATAAGTACCTTAAATTGTATGATCTTAACTTTGCTTAACTTCTTTGACTAGAGTGTCTTGATGAGTCCAATCCTGAGTGAGTTATGTGCCATGTGTGTGTAAGGTTTTGTGTTATTCTGTGCATTGCATTCGATGTCTAGAACTTCCCCCGTGTGTTTGCAAAGCGAAATAGTAGTTTTGTTCAGTCTTGGAAGTGATATAGGCGTTTCTTTGTTGAGCCATATAAATATTTTACCCGCCTAATTGCTATGTATCATAGTTAACCCCTTTGAGCCTGTAATCCTGTTTCTTTGGCAACCATATTACATGCCTTACTCATTTGTTTGAATTAACCATCTATTTGAACCTTTTCACCTCTCATGAGCACTTGAACTGTTATGAACTTTGTAAAAGTTAAAGTGTGGGGTGGTTGGTTTGCCTTTTGAGTGGAACTAATGAAATAAGGAGAAAGGTGCACTGTTTTGAAAAAAGTAAGAGCCACTTGAATTGAAAAAGAAAAAAAAATAGTTGTACTGCTGTGAAAATATTTGATAGTGGTGACTCTTGATGTAATTGTGCTTAAAGAAGTGGGGAGTTAATATATATTGATGTGAAGGTGGAGTTATGGTTTGACATAAGTATGGAGTTTTGAATGTTAAAGTATATGTATTAAAGTGCTTAGGGAGGTGTAGTCACTCTTATATCTAAATGTATCCTACCCATCCCTCAGCCTACATTACAACCAAATAAAGTACTACTTGATCCTAGACTGAATGAGCTCGATTAGTAGAGTAATACACTACGGGCAAGCCTATGGTGCATCTTTTGTGGCATATGAATGTTATTTCTGAGAATGAGTGAATTCTTTCTATCTTGAGTTCCTAAGTGTTCTTAAAATTTATCGTGTGGGACTACTCTCGTTGGTTGTGTGAGGGCACTTGATTCATGAAGGAAAGGTAATGTCATTGACCTCTATGTTAGAGTAAGTGGGTAAGTTGCGAATAATGCGTGGTACTTGTGAGTCAAATCTTGAGGTGAAGATGTTACACTCTTGTGCTTAGTCTATTTTAAATATTCTTGGTGTGATAAGTTAGGAGAATTGTTTAAAAAGGTCGTGTCTTTATAAAGTGTAGTTTGATGTAGTTTGATTGCTCGAGGACGAGCAATGGTTTAAGTGTGGGGTGTTGATGATAGGCTATAATTGCGTATTTTAGTCGCTTATTACACTCTAATTTACTGCACTTTGATTGAGTTTGCGCTTTAATCGCTAGTGTCCTGCACTAACTGTGTGTTATATGCCTTGTAGGAGTGATTCTGAGCTATGTAGATGTTATGGAATGAGTTCAAGTGATTTGGAGCTTTAAAGTTTGAGTAAAAGTTCAAAGAATTAAGCCGGGATCGTGTTTGGAGGTCAACGGATGATAGTTAGAGCAAACGAAGACTTCAGTAGGCAGATTGCACACTGTCTAGTAAAATAGATATAACTTTTTGCTTAGAACTCCATTTTGGCTCTACAATATATGGTTGGAAAGCTAACGCAAAGAGATACAACTTTCATGTTTTACGTTTTTCCAAATTCGGAACGGAACGCGCGAAAAACGCGCGAAGTTTGCGCTAAGTCGCGCGTGTTAGGGGGTTGAGGCAGAATGGTGCGCGAAGGACGCGCGAGTCACCCGGGAAAAGTGTCCTTTTTCACATTGGAGAAGGTATAATTGTTTGGGCCCAACCCTACTTGGTATATATACATGAGAGAACATTTTTAGAGCAATTTTTGGAGAGGAGGACGCCACTTTTGGTGATATCTAACGCCACACTTGGAGGAGGCTTCTAACTAGTTTTTCTTCTCTTCTCTTTCTTTAATTTCATAGTTTCTTTGTTCTAGAGTTATGGGTGCTACATGAACGTTGTAGTTTGAAGCTTGAATTGTTCTTATTATTTTATCATATTGGTTTATATATTCAATCTTGCGCTTAATTATTTGATTTCTTGATCACCAATTGAATACTATCTACGAATCTAGGATTGAACTCGGGAAAGGGAATTCTAGATTGCATATAAGATTGAGTAGAGCAAGATCTTAACTCTTAGGGGGAGCGGATTTGCGGTTAGGATAGGAATATACCTAATCGCCTTGTTTGGTTATTATACGGGAATTATAAAGGCGTTCTTGTTAATCCTAATTCCATAGGAATATAGGCGTTAGGTTAGCTTGAATAGGCATGTTGTACTTCGGGAGAAGGCTACGAGCAATATTAACCCCGTCAATCAATAAACCAGATAAATTAATTAGACGATTTAAGTGGAAAACTCAACGGGATTGCTAGCTAACCCATAGCTCTAGAATATTCACCCATATTAATTCGTCTCTATAATTCGCCAATTTATTTTCTTTGATCTCTTAATTTGTTACTCTAGTTTAATTTTAGTTAAATATTCATACTTTAGGAATCGCTTGAATAGATTAATTATTTGGTTTAATTTAGTTGATAGTTAATCACAAGTCCCTGTGGGTACGATATCTGGACTTATAATCCTATATTACTTGTCGACCACGTATACTTGCGTGTGCGTTTGGGAGCAACAAGTTTTTGGGGTAAGCGCACCTCGCTTTCTACTCCCTCCGGTCACTTTTACTTGACATGTATACTAAAAATAGATATTCACTTTTACTTGACACTTTACGCAAATCAAGAGAAGACAACAAATTTTTTCGTGTTATACCCCATATTATTTATTACTCATTTCAAATTATTTTCTCAAATCCAATAAAATATGCATCAATTAATATTAGTATCATGGTAAATTATATACTTCATTTATTATTTCTTAAAGGACATGAAAAGTCTAAAGATGTCAAGTAAAAGTGACCGGAGGGAGAACAAGTTATTGTCTTCCTTCGTCACCTTGCTGAGAGTACCGCCGGCCTCTTCATCTTTTTTAATGCTTCTCAACCTCTTCGTCCCTTCATTTACAACCTCCACTGCTCTTTTATTTGAACAAAAACATAAAAACTGTCCAATAATTGTGGAAATTTCATTAAGCGTATTGTTAGTCAAATTTAATTGATATAGTTTTGTTTGAAAAAATGCTTACTGGTATGGGTCTGTTGATAACATGTTATGCATGCTACGGCAGGGGAGGGGGACTCTAATCGAGTTGTTAGATGTCTCTCTACGGAGTCGCTCCTCTATCTTTCGTGAAAGCATATGATCGAGTCAGTACGTTAAACATCTAATCCTGGTCTTAATGTTATCTGTGTTTGGAGGGGAGGAGGATAGTGAAAGTACAACAGGGGAGGGGCGGGGGGTGAATTGTAGCCAATTTCAAAACTTAGTTGACTAGGAGAGAATTTAGTCGACTAGACTTCACACAAGAATTAATCACAATAGAAATAAATTGTGCAAACAGAAAAGTAAAGGAGACGCAGCAGTTTCTATACTGGTTCAGTACTGGTGTGGTACCTACATTCAGTTCCCTTTGGTCACAAGGGTTCTCTTAGATCTTCAGTAAGCTTTTACAACAGTGATGGTTTTAGTACGTTCACCATCAACGATATATAACAACAATGTTTCTTTATAGTATTGACACAACTCTTGTTTTGTCTTCTAACTCTTCCTACACTACAAAAAAGTAAGGATACGATGACATTAAATAAATGTCATATAATGCTGCTTAAATGTCGCAAATTCATTTACCGACATTTAATTTACATTTGTATCAAATGTCTTAAATTTTGGGGTCGGGAATTTTCCGACATTTAGATAAATGTCGGTAAGAAATTTACGACATTTATTTATGACATTTTTTGAAAGGTCACATAAATTGGTGACATTTAAAATAATGTTGGTAAATTAATTACGACATTTATTTAATGCTTTTAAAAAAAAGTCGCATTATAATTTGTGACATTTTGGTAAATGCCAATAAAATTTTATGACATTTTAGTGAATGTCAAGTAAATTAGTGACATTTTTTAAAATCTTATGAAATACCACATTAAAATTCCATATCAAATTTTCTATAATATGAATAATAATTTTCTATTTACATCATCGTCATTACTCAAATATATATTTAATTTGTATATTCATACATATCAACCTTTATACACAATGTAACAAATATGAAATAGAAAATGTCTTTAGACGTTGTATTCAAAGAACAAGTACTGAGATAATAGAGGTTCTCCTTACAAGTTAGACATTCAAATCAAATGACCTGTTATATCTTAAATAAAATTAACTCTAACTTAAACATAAATAATAAAGTAATTTTAACTTCTAGAATAAATTCTGCAACAAGGCTTTATGGATCCATCTCTCCACAAGTCCATTCCCTTTCACTAATTGATCTTATATTCTTCAGAAGCTCTGCAAAAGAATCACATAAAACAGAATTATAACTATGTTAAAAAACTGAAAAAATTGAAGTGTCTTGCATGTTTTCCAAACTTACCCACTTCTTTTTTTTCGTCTCAAGCTCATCAGTTTCGGTCTTCTTAACTTTGTTAACCTGAGAAAAAATATTAGAAAGGTTACTTTGATAGTTTATAGAACTCAAAACTGAGTGTAGAGTACAAGATATAATCAACAAGACAAAGTTTATGTATCCCCAAAATGCAGCAACTTCTACAAACACAACATAAGAACTTTGAATTATAAGCAAAAGTCTAGAGGCATTACTGGAAACATATGATAGCACTTTTATACTAAATTTCCTTCTCTGACAGCATTGTAAAAGTTCTTTTGAATTGTAAGCTCTACTATTCACAAATCACAAAGATATCATCCAATACAGACCCATCAATTCTAAAATACTAACAGACAAGTGAACATAAATTAAAATAAAGTAGCTATGATTAAGAGTTTTAGCTAAGTTTTGATCTTTTAATAATCCATTCAAAGTTAAAAGAAACTTAACAACTTAAGCACTCTGCAAGCCAGCATTCAAAAAATTGACACAAAGGTAATCTTACTAGTACAAGACAGTCCATGAACAGATAACAAATCCTGTCAGAAAATGTATATCCACCCACTAAACGTCTGCTAATATAAAAAAATAGATCCTCAAGTTACAACAAGTTACAACAAGCCTCAAAAAAGTTCTTTTGACGAGCTTAGCTTCACATCCCAAGGACTAAATTTGACATGTAGGCTATTTACAACATATCTTTCAGCAGTATGATGTATAAGATCGGGTCACTAAACTATTTTAACAATCATACTCCAAAATGATATGATAAAGGCATTATGGTTGCTTCCAGAAAAATTTAGGATTAAAAAAAACCTTTTTTTGAGGTAGTTAATTTTGTCGAATGACTTTTGGCAACAAAAGAAAGCATAATGTGCCTATAAGTACTGAAATCATTTGTTGCTTTGCCAAAAGGAAATGCACAAATCTTCTCAAAAGTTTGTTGCTCTGCCAACAGACTTGTTCATGGCTCCTGTGTGGTAGGGAGAGAGCACCCACCAAAGGAATGTACATGCATACATGCCTAATTCAATACTTCTCAAGAAATCTCAAATCTGTCTCAACACTCGCATACCAGTTTACCAGACACATGTTTACACAGTTGAATTTTGTAACTACAGGTTTTGAATTATTGGTTAACTAACAGATTGTATGGTATTCTAGCTATTAAGATGTAATTTTTAGTTTCCATACCTTTTTTGGAACACAGATGGTCCCAGCCCCCAGCTACTAGGGCACAACCTCTCACACTCTTGGCTAAATTACATAATGTGTATCATTTTACCATTAGCTCCCACTTTTAACACTTTGATCAAAACACTCCCACATATTTTGCTCAAAAACGAGATCCTAACACTTGGACAATTAACTCACAACACCTTATTCTTGTGAAGAACTGAAACTGGTGAAAATGATTGTTGGCGATCTTCAAGTGAGTTATCGGAAATCTATCACAAAGAGGGAGATTATTATAATTAAAAGAAAAATAAATAGCAATACTAACTTTAAGTGAAAAAAGTTTGTGAATGAGCATAAAGTTATTTACCTGCTCATCACGGATTGATTTACTATTTGAGCCAATTGTAATACCCATACTCTCTAGATATGCTTGGACCCCTACCTTTACTTTATCATCTATTGTTGCTTTCATATCTTCTTTTGCTTCTGCCAACTTTTTCTCCATATCAGTTTGGATAGCCGTGGTAGCTTTTTGAACTTCTATCTCAACCCTTGCATCAAAATCTCTTTGCTCAGCCTTGGATCGTTTATATACTGGGCCATAAACAAACTTGGAGCTGCTCCTTTCCCTAGAGTTCGAACAATCCCATGAGTGTCTGGTCCCATAATTTGTGCATACACATCATTAGGAGCACTTCTAGGGACATTTAACTTAGGATACACCTTAGCAAGTTCATCCATTTCTTTCTTTTTGAAAGAATGGAAAGCAAAGATAAGTTAACAAAATTTTGTAAGAAAATGACAGTAATTCTTTATATTTATAAAGAATAAGAATTTACCATAACTTCACCAGCTATCTCGTTTACTGGTTGATCATTCTTTCTTGAATGTGTTTCTTTAAACACCTCAATACGAGTAGGTGTTATGCCATTCTTCTTTGTCATCTGTATTGAATAGTAAAAGATTGTAACAAAAGTATCCAAGAAAATAAAAACTAATACATAAACTGAAGATAGTAGATAACGATTATGTCATATATTATCTATAATTTGAGAAAGACTATTTCTTTCTGATGTGTGTGGCATAGTCGATTTCTTTCGGCTTTCTTTGTTCTTCTCGCTCTTTTCCTAGAAAAGTTAAACAAGATATTATATTAGAGAATAGACACAATTCACCGTAAAAAAATAAAAAATAAAAAGAAAAGTTCAAAAAGAACAGAGATCGAGTGACAAGAATGCTATAGCCCTAAGAGGCAACAGAAGAAAATGCTTGATATTATGGAATACTTTTGTGTCACGACCCGGATTCCCCACCCTCGGGGGGTCGTGATGGCGCCTACTCGTGGAAGCTAGGCAAGCCGAAAACCTTAGAAAATATTAACCTATTTCGTTTTATACATGATTAACAACTAAATTATCAATGAATAAGCAGTTAAAAGATAACGAAAAGTAAAATTTAGCGGAAGTTGAACAAAATATAGAAAGCCAATACAAGTCTCTACCCAGCACCTGGTGTCACAACAATACATGGACTGTCTAGGATTACTACAAATAAGTGTTTGAAATAAAGGACATAGTCTGTCTCGAATACAAATGTCAACAGAACATGAAAACTGTAAGAAGAGACGCCGGGCCTGCGGACGCCAGCAAGGCTACCTCGGAGTCTCGTGGACTGAAGGTCGGCTCCCTAACTACTGCTGCGCACCGTAAGCTGCTCCAACACCTGGATCTGTGCAAAATATCACAGAGTGTAGCATCAGCACAACCGACCCCGTGTGCTGGTAAGTGCCTAGCCTAACCCCGGCGAAGTAGTGACGAGGCTAGACCGGACTACCACATAAACCCGTGCAGTTATATATATACATATACAGTGGAATCGAAATATAGAGACAAGTAATTAACATGGGAGGGGGAGCATGCTATGGGGGAAATGACAATTTCAAGTAAAAGTCGTCCAGTAACGAAGGAAACAACACAACTCAGACATTAATAAAGGAAACAGAAAGCAACAAATACACGGCATCACCCTTCGTGCTTTTACTCTCATCCTCACCAAGCAATGATATAATAAAGTGTGCACGGCAGCACCCTTCGTGCTTTTACTCTCTTTCCTCACATATAATCGATAGAATCGGCACGGAATGGTACATCGTGCGGCACGGCATCACCCTTCGTGCTTTACTCTCTTTCCTCACCATAAGCAAGCAATGCACGGCATCACCCTTCGTGATTTACACTCTTTCCTCACAACAAACAAACAATGCACGGCATCACCCTTCGTGCTTTAACACTCTTCCTCACCCAAACAACAATCACAAACAAGGGGCAAGGGAATAAATAAAATAATAAAAAAAATCCCGGCAAGGGAACACAATTGAACAATTAAATCCCGACGTACAACATCAATAATCTCAACATCCCGGCAAGGGAAAACAATCCATAAACAACAATATCCCGGCAGGAGAACAATCAAAATACTCTTTCTCTTCCTTTCACTTTTATTTCATATCTCACATTACCACTTGAGCCAATGCTCCAAAGGGGTTCAACCATTTCATATACGTTCACAATTGAAATATAACTTGAGTCAAGGCTCCTCGTTGTTCATAGGTCACAATTTCCTTTCACAAGCTTTTCACAACAAATAGGAATCATCACCAAGGCAAGAGAAATACAACGAAATCAAGATATTCACAATTTAAAGACTCACGGTCATGCTAGACACCAACGTATAGATACTCGTCACCATGCCTATACGTCGTACTCAACAAGAAGCAATTAGCAAATAAGACTCAACTCCTAGTCCCTCAGCTAGGGTTAGACCAAACACCTACCTCAATGCCTTGCACACCACTTAAGCCTCAAGTATAGCTTTACCCGCGATTCCACCGCCAATTCGCTCGTATCTAATCACAAATTACTTAATTACATTAATAAATACTAAATGAATCAACCCCAATGCATGAAAATGAGTTTTTCCAAGTTTTACCAAAAAAGTCAAAAATCACCCAGGGCCCACGTGGTCAAAACCCGAGGTTCGAACCAAAACCCGATTACCCATTCCCCCACGAACTCAAATATATAATTTGTTTTGAAATCGGACCTTAAATTGAAGTCCAAATCCCCAATTTTTGAAAAACCTAGGTTCTACCCAAAACACCCAATTTCCCCTATAAAAACCTTTGATTTTAAGTTGAAACAATGTTAAAAGATGTTAAGGAGTGAAGAAAATAAGTTAGAAATCACTTACCAACGTTTTGGAGAAGAAAGGTTGTTTGAAAAATCGCCTCTTATGTTTTTAGCATTTTGAAAAGTGAAAAATGACTGAAATTCCCGTTTGTTTATACCCCCCTGAGACCCCCTGTGCGGACCGCATTAAATGGATCGCGGCCGCACAGGCTTACCTGAAGACCTGCAGTTCAGTACCCTGTGCGGACCGCACAAAGCCGACTACAGCCGCACAGCTTTCACCGCGCCCCGCACAAAGGCGACCGCGGCCGCGCTGGCCCCTCCGCAGTCGCACGCGATTTCTCACGTACCGCGTTAGAGGGTTTAGAGACCTGCAACTCCTGAACCTGCAACTTCTGATTTTCTAAGTTTAAGGCATCCCGGAACCCACTCGAAACTCACCCGAGCCCTCGGAACTCAAACCCAAGTACACACACAACCTCATAAACATCCTTCGGACTTATTCGTGCGATCAAATCGCCAAAATAACATCATAAACAACGAATTAAACCTCAAAATTCAAGAATTCTTTCAAGCTTCATAAAACATCAAATTTTCCAATTTAAGTCCGAAACACGTCAAACGACGTCCGTTTTCAACCAAATTTCACAGAAATGACTTAAAGCACATATAAGACTTGTACCGAGCGCCGGAACTAAAATACGGGCCCGATACTAACACGTTCTAATCAATTATCATTTCAATTTTCCTTAACAATTTCAGAAAAATAATTTTACAAAAAAATTCATTTCTCGGGCTTGGGACCTCGGAATTCGATTCCGGGCATACGCCCAAGTCCTATATTTTCTATGGACCCTCCGGGACTGTCAAATCACGGGTCCGGGTCCGTTTACCCAAAATGTTGACCAAAGTCAAATTTATTCATTTTAACATCAAAATTTAGCATTTTTTATAGAATTTCACATTTAAGCTTTCCGGCTACGCGCCCGGACTGCGCACGCAAATCGAGGCGACTCTAAATGAGGTTTTCAATGCCTCGGAAGCACGGGATTCATTTAAAACGGGTGATGACCCTTTGGGTCGTCATATTTTGCAGCATTTGAACTCCAATAATGAACTAATGAACGCCACTGATCTTCTTCAACCCTATCTGGACGATGAGCTATACGCTCAGTATCAGTACCATACGGTTCATAACCACAACTTTTTGCTTGATGCTTCCATTCTTTCCATTTAGATCCAACTGATATCATCAACATGCGTCTCATATCATCAGTTGCATCAGTATTTTCCTACAGACATATTTACCACAACTTATTTATATAGAAAAATAAAAAATAAAAATCTTTTAGTATGTAATTTTTGATTTAGTACTAAGCACCTTAACATGAGCCCATATTATGTCCTTGAACATCTTTGGCAAAAGCCTCCAATCTTTATAATTCAATGGCGCTAGGATACCATTTCGTGCTATGACACCAAGTTTAGAACTCATTCTAGTTGCTTCTGGTCCAATTGGTTAGCCGCGTTCATTCAACTCAATATGTAAATTGCCACCATCATTTCCCCATCCTGAGTGCATCATAGTGGGACCCCTGAGTCGTTTAGATTGTTCTTCACTCTCATTGGAATCTGTAAATAATCAAAAATTGAAGGGAGGTGCATTCAACAATAACAAAAACAAACCCAGTGGAACCCCAAACACAAAACTAAGATAGATGTAGAGATAAGTTATGAAGCTGTCTTTGGATTGCCTAAAATAGACAAACCAAAAATCTATATATCAGCAGGTAGTATTACTAAGTCATTGCAGTACTCCATATTCATCTCTACAAGATTTGGCCACATCGAAGACATCTTTGAAAATGCCTTCCCAACCTCACACATGATCAAGGAAATTTTCCGCAAACTAATATACATGCTTTCCTAGGTATTAATGATGTTCAAGGCTTCATCATTTGCTTGTCAATTCCACACATCAATCTTGAAGTCTTGAAATAAATTCTTTAAAATGCATTAAACCCTTTATTTAAAAATCAGCTATACTAAAATGACGTCCCAACTTTCCCAAGAACCATGAGTAGGTCTTTAAACATTCAGTGCAATACCACGTGTGAAAAATTCTATCTGTACATGAACTGTTAATTAATCAGTATCTACATCAAAATAGCGAGGGAAAGAAATCTAATACTACAGAATGAAGATAAGATACCACTTTATTCCCTGAGAAATTTTCTACATCATGTGAATCATTTCTTGACAAGTTACCAGATCGGATAGCTTGTATTTCATTTTGTGGCTAGTTTTTAGGTGGTTCGGGCATCGCTGTACCGTCCATTTGTAGTTCTTGTTGCTCTGAATAATTGGATAAAAGCCCACCTTGACTAGAATTTCTTTGCCTTTTTCTGGCCATCTCACTGAAGTTGCTCAAAAGTTAGATTCTTGTCATATTGAAAAATAATTTCTACTATCCAAAAGCATGAAATAATATCTAATTACCAAGTCAAACAATAAGACATGTAAGCATAAGGGATTTAAACGACTGAATGACATAGTAAGAAATATCAATTTGTTCTCTATTGAATAACCATCTTTACTAAAATAGTAATAATACTAAATAATATTAAGAACTAAGATATATCGTAATCTTCATCAAATGCTTCAGTACTTTCCATAGTTTGTGGGTCAATTTCTGTTCCCGGCACTCCTTCCCTAACCCATTCAATGTCTTCTTCACTTTCAAATGTAGTATCATCTAGTTGTTGCTCAGGCCACAATTCCATATGGCCATCCATATGCCCAGTTGCTTGTGTGTTTTCACCTAAATCGTAAAAACCTCGTGGCTTAAGTTTGACAACAATTTGCCACTCATCTGCCATTGAATGATGGACATAAAACACCTGTTGAGCTTGAGAAGCAAAGATAAAAGGTTCACTTGATAACTAATGCATTGTGTAGAGTAGATGATTAAAATTCACAAGAGTGAATCCATAATCATCTTTCTCGATAAGCCCCTTATTATTGTCCACCCATTGACAGCCAAACAATACAAATTTGAACTTCTTGGAATAATATAACTCAATTATGCTTGTCAGGACCCAATAAAAAGAGATTTCTGCCAATATGGGATTTTTATCTCTTGCGCTTGCATAACTTTGAGTTGTAGCCTTTACCATAATTCCACTATTTTGAGTTTTACGCCGGGCATCACGAGACTTTGTTAAGTATCTAATCTCATTACTTATATATTCAGTCATCCTTTTTGCTTGCTTTGATGGACCAATAGCTAAATATTGAATTTTTTCAGATATTTGCTCACTGGCCATATGTATCTTCTCAACCTGCCAATTAAAAGTAAAGATATGATTGAAAATAGATATAATTACAACTCTAATAATATATTTGGAAAAAAAATAGCCGGTTCATAATTACGTGTTTTGCTAAACCATATGTGAAATTTTTCATTGTGAATCCGATCCACTTGATGTCTGGATAGACGAGGATTGGCCTTCTTGATTTCTTTTATATGCTCACTGCCATAAGTAAAACACGTAGAACTTAATAAATAAACTACAAATATTATTACTTATTAAATTAATTACAAAATATAAATAATTATTTAATACTTACTCGCGATATGGAGTTGTGGAGGCAGAATTAAATTAAACATATCTGCGTGCTTGGGCGTGTGTAATGTCATCAAGCCTAAACCCTATCTCTTTACTTGATCGGCGACCCTCTTGGTTAGCTGCTTCATTAGACGAAGCATAATTTCTTAAAGGCCTACTCAACTTTGTCTCCACATCATGTAGATATCTTGAGCAGAACGTCATGCACTCTTCTATCCAATATCCCTCTGCAATTGAACCTTCTGGACAACTTGTACTCCTTACATAGTTTTTAAGAGTAAGCAAGTACCTACAATAGAAAATTTTCATAATAGTTAATTAAAATTCTTTACAAGTACTATGAAATAGAGCAAAAAAATAGTACCTTTCAAATGACCACATTGAACGATATTGTGAGGGTCCACCAATCGTTGCTTCTTCAGCTAAATGGACGACTAGATGTTCCATGATATCAAAAAAGGATGAAGGAAATATTCTCTCCAAATGACAAAGGGTTATTGCAACTCGATCTTGGAGCTTTTCTAACTCACCTGTGCTCATAACTGTTGAACAAATGCCCCTAAAAAAGTTACTTAATTCGATCAATGGCTTCAGGACATTCATCGGAAGGAGATCTCACAAGGCAAAAGGAAGGAGTTGTTGCATTAAAATATGGCAGTTATGACTCTTCAACCCATGCATAGTGCGTTGCTTAATATTAACACAATGTGAGATATTTGAAGCATATCCATCTGGTACATTCACATCTCTTAAAACTTGTAAGAGCATTTCTTTTTGCGCATTACTCAATGTGAAACATGCTGGAGGTAGATAATATTTGCCATTAGCTCTTTTCTTAGGGTGCAAAGCCTTTCGAATCCCCATCTCTTGCAAATCCAAACGAGAATTTAAATTGTCTTTTCCTTTACCATCTATATTTAGTAATGTCCAAAATATATTGTCAAATACATTCTTTTCAATATGCATTGTGTCAAGATTATGACGAATCATATTGTCTTTCCAGTAGTCTAACTCAAAAAATATGCTCTTTTTCTTCCACAAATTTTGCAATACGGCATCATCAACATGATCAAAATCATTCCATTTTCTTTTATTAGATTTGGTCGATGGACCTTTTCCGAATTTATTATTAATATCTTTCAATTGCTCAAGAACCTCAATACCTGACAACCGTTTAGATGCTACCTCCAACTCCTTAAAACCATTAAATGTAACTTTATCTTTTCGAAACTTGTGCCCATTGGGTAACCATCTCCTATGTGACATGAAGCCATATTTTCGCCCATTTCTCAATCTCAGAAATTTAGTTTTCGTCAGACAACATGGACAAGGATATCTAGTTTTCACACCATATCCTGATAAGTTATCCAGTGTTGGAAAATCACTGATTGTCCAAAGCAATGAAGCACGCATTTGAAACATATGGTTGTTTGATACATCATAAGTGTCAACACCAACCCACAATTCTTTTAACTCATCAATTAAGGGTCGAAGATAGACATCAATATCATTGCCAGGTGCACGAGGGCCATCAATAATTATTGACAATATCATATATGGTTGCTTCATGCATAACCATGGTGGCAAGTTATATGGAACCAAGACAACCGGCCATGTGCTATGTGAGATAGACATAGACTTGAAAGGATTAAAGCCATCTGAAGCCAGCCCAAATATAACATTCCTAGGATCTTGAGAAAAGCTTGGATGCAATTCATCAAAAAAATTCCAAGCAATACTATCAGCAGGGTGCCGCATTACCCCATCTCTAGTGCAACCTTCAGCGTGCCATCTCATTTGAGTAGATGTTTTAGATGACATGAATAATCGTTGAAACCTTGGTATCAACGAAAAGTATCTAAACACCTTTGCTGGAATTTTTGAGGTTTCCATACTACTACTTGATTCACCTTTAAACTGTTTGTACCTTGGAGTTTTGCAAAAATTACAATCTATTCTATCTTTTGTCTCATTCCAGTAGATCATACAATAATTTGGACATGCATGTATTTTTTTTATATTCAAGTCCTAAATCTTTAATAATTTTCTTGGCATCATTAAAGGACTTGGGTAATATTTCACCTTCAGGAAACGCATCTTTTAACAACTCTAGCAACATGGAAAATGGATTGTTACTCCACCCATTGAGACACTTTAGATGCAATAGACGAACAAGAAAAGAAAGCAGTGAATATTTGCTTCCAGGGTATAATTCACACTCAGCTTCTTTTAGTAAGTTAAAAAATGTTCAGTCTTCTTATCAAACCCCTTCCTATGATGATTTGACCCACCAAATCCATCACCACTAGTGTCCATATCAACAAAGTCACTAGTAGGAGGAACTCCAAAAGCATCATGTACCAAGGCTTGCATTTCATCACCTTTATCTGACTGATTTGTAGACACTGATGAATATGATATCTCACCATGAAAAATCCAAGTAGTGTAACTAGTTAGAAACCCATCAACCACTATGTGTTCGACAATCAGATCTTTTGACACAAATTTCATATTACGACACTTTCGACATGGACACAAGATTTCAGATGCATTAGGCCTATCCAATGACGCAAACTGAACAAACTCTTTGGCTCCGATCTCATATAAGGGATTGTTCCTATTAAATATGTTTATCCAACTCTTACCCATTAACAAATATTACCTATACATATAGCATCAAAGAATCAACTTCAGTAATTCTCCTTGTACTTAATCTAGTGTGAATATGTTATACACCATCAGTAGATACACTTAGAACTTCAGATAAGATATACGACAGTGGAAAGAGTTTTTACAGAAAGTTCAAATATACTCTGTAAATAAACTTAAAAGAGCCTAAATAACTAGGAAAAGAGAAAATCTAGTAAGCACTTCAAAACACAAAAATACTTTCTTTTAACTATTACAGTACAAAGAATTAGAATTACATAGTATTAAATTAAACAGAAGATAGATAAGAACCTGCAAAGGCTTCACCAAGAGTCTGAACCCTATATCTATGTTCTTCCAATAGCTTGCCTCTCTTTCCCCATTTTTTAAATCTCCAATTAAATTTCCAAAGCGTACTGCAAAATTAGGTTATCTGAAGAATTCTAACTAATAAAGGAAACTGTAATTTTAGAATTAGGAGGAGGGAAGCTGAAAATTCTTACCGCCAAAATCTCCCATACTCTCCATACATAGCTTCTTTCGGAACCACGATTTGTAAAGGAGGAATATATTGCGGAGATAGAAATCAAATTTGACTAAAATTAGAATGGATTTGGTAAAATATTGAGCCAATTTGAAAACCCCCATCTTAGGTCTTGAGGTTTGGCCGTTTGGGGGTCTAAGCTATTCGCTGACTTTTGGTCTCCTTTTACAGATTCTTTTAATTTTGTTTACTTTATTTTTAAATTCAACTTTTAACAAGTACTAATAATATTATTGACTAAATGTAATATTTTAATTTTTTAATTTACAGAATATTATAATAATGAGAACAATAGAAAGTACATTAAAATAAAATTTTAAAAAGATAAAAAAAACTTGTAGAAAATAAAATATCTAACATGTTTTTGCAAGTATAATTATTTATGAGATACAAATCAAATAAAATGGCTTAACTTTTAAATAAATAATAAAAATTTTAAAAATATTATCAACTATACATAATTACCTTCCTAAAAGTAATAATAATTAATAAATTATGTTATAGTAATTTAAAATTTTACTCCTTCATAAATAAATAAATAATTACTTACAAATTATAAAATAATAAAGTCTAATATTTAAAGAGACACAAAACTAAGAAATGGAGACACAAAACTAATATTACGACATTTTATATCAACTGTTATTGTTTTTGTGACATTTGATACAAAACGTCATTGTTTTTATGACATTTTGTATCAAATGTCATTATTATTACAACACTTTGATTGAAATGTCGTTATTTTTACTACATTTTGTTACAAATGTCGTTATTTTTACAACATTTTGTAAAAAAATGTCATTATTTTTACAACATTTTGTCATAAATGTCGAGAAATTCATTTTTTTCCGACATTTATTTTAAATGTCACTAAATAAATGTCGTCGTATCATTACTTTCTTGTAGTGCTATCTTTTGCGATACTTATAGACTCAAGAATATAGTGTTTGTACTAAGGACTAGAAAGGTGTAGAAACAGATGTGAAGTTGCGTAATCTACTTTGCCCTTCTACTTTTTCTTTTATATGCTTGATGAATCTTCCGATTCCTTATTTTCTGGGATCACATAGCAACAATGATTGGAGGTTTTTCCTTGTGAGGCATAGATATCTAAGAGTGAGACCCAAGGGTATCCTCATGAATCTTGATGAGAAGTGTGGCTAGATTCATTCTTAACTTGAAGAATTGGTTCCTCCAATTATCCTTGATTAGAGGTTCCGCAGATTGTCCTTTGATTTGCTCTCTATCCTTGATTAGCTCTCTTTCCTTTCTTGCGTGCTTGAGGATCTTTAACAGGTCTAATTAATTGACTTTCCTTCCTTGTTCTTTGATTGATTGATTCTCTTTCCAATATTTGATGTAAAGTTCGAAATACATAGCCGCTGGCTTCCTCTGATTTCCTCATAGGATTTTCTTTCCTTTCATTCATCAATGTCGTAGCTAATCTGCACAAAATGAGATATTATTAGTCACAACTTTTTTGATTATTAATCATTATTAAAATTCTAAACTTAATAATATCCCCCTTTTTTTATGATGACAATAATCCAAAAAGAGTTCGACTAATTTAGGATATACTTCCCTTTACGAGTGTACTTCTTCTCCCCCTGGCTTTGAGCTATAATATTCCTTATTTGTTGCTCCCTCTGTCTTTGTACTCATTTCCTTCTCCCCCTTTGACATCAATCAAAAGAGAAGAATAGAACAATAGCTAATAATAGTACTAGTTAAGCATGCAAAAAACATATACATCTAGCAGTTATGTCGGGCATAGTCGACTGACATGTCTTTCCAGACACAACCAAAAGAAAAGTTTTAACATCCTACACACAAAACAAAAGGGAAAAGATTGTTTAAACAACCCAGTAATCACTTAATTCCTTCCAAGGAAATACTTCAAGGTGTTGATCACTTTGGTGCATAAACTATCATATTAGGCATCAATCTCCTTGGTGACTTTGGTCAGCTTCTCAGTTACATCCTGCATAACCCTGATTCCTTGCCTCTTTGTGGCTTGGAGAGTGATCCTTATCCTAGCCACAACTGCTCCGATTTCCTTAGTTACTTCCTTGATCTTGTCCACCTATTCCTATATAGAGGTTAGCAATTCCTTGATATTTGCAATGTTTTGCTGGATTAGTAGAAACTGATCTAAGGAAGAGGATTTGCTTGCTTCAGATTTAATTCCCCTAGTGCCCTGTTGAGGAGTGGATTCCGGTGCCTTATCTTTCTTGAACCGGGTTCCCTCAACCAAGGCATATCCCATCATGGCAAATGCAGTCTCGTCATATGTGCTGGAGATGGTTTTAGGGGCACAGAGAGACGGATCCACTTTCATAACTTGCAAGATGTGAGAGATTAGTAAACCATAAGGCAAATTGTTAGTAGAAGATGAGACATCCCTGATGCTTTCAAGCATGTAGTGACGCACCCAAGCAGACCAATTAATAGCCTTCCCGTTCACAAGATAATACATGACAAACACATCCTGGAGAGACAGGGTGCTAAGTGAAATAGTATGGGGTAGCAAAGTGGTAGAAATAATGTGGGCTAGTACACGATGCTCAAATTTTAATTTGCACCAATGTCAGGGGTTTTTAAGACAACACACTTTTTGCTTCCTCAAACGACACTTCAAAATTATCAGGCCAAGAATGTTGCACAAATAAACTATACTCAACAAACTTTGTTGCAAAGATTTTCTCAAGCTAATAAGTATCAAGAATAATTCGAGTTCCCAAAACCATGGATTCTAAATCATCTTAATCATTCACAAACGGATTTGCATAAAACATACGCACAGACTCTTCATAGATAGTGTCACCAACAGTAGCAAATAGATAGACAAGTTTTTGAGTTTCAAACACAGAGATAATAACATAGTGAGAGTTTTTCATAAATTTCAAACTTACAGTGTGACCATAAGCAATCGTTCCCTTTGAAAGAGCCAAACCTTGCCTTCTATTTCGGACCATAGAAATTCATCTTGTCTTTAGGCCCAAACTCTATGCTTTCTGTTTTCTCTCTCTTCTGAGACAATTGTTTAGGGATGGACTCCATTGGGCATTTTCTAGCCCTCTTTTGAGCAACGAAAATATCTTCTTGAGAATCACTAGACTCATCCTCGGGCAGTGGATAATCTGTGCTTTCTGAGGAATCATCTACATGATCATTAGTTTGATGGTTTTTCTTGAAGTTATGGCTTCTTCTAAGCATGGAGTAGGATAGAGAGGGTTTTGTTTGGCCATGAGTAAGTGAGAGCAGAGAGAGAGAAAGAATGGCTTTCTTTGAGAAAACGGAGATATGATCGAGAGAGGAGAGGTTAAAAAGGGGTGAATGGACGTTTTGCCTTCTGCAAGCTCGCCGTTAGTCCGGTCATAAATGCATGTACAGGATAATCAAGTACTTAGAGATTTTTAGGGCGTAAATCACGAAGATCAATTATGAAATATTCTCTAAACTAGATAAATTAAGAGCAATTAGACGGTAATCAAACAAATACCAATTTTGTCACGAAGGAAACAAAATCCTTTTTCAAGGAATGGTTTTGTAAAAATATATGCTAACTAATTTTAGGTATTAACAAATTCTAACATAATATTACCTTTAGCAACATGATCACGGAAAAAATGATGCTTAATCTCAATATGCTTAGTCCTAAACTGATGCACAAAATTTTTTGAAAGGCAAATAGCACTAGTGTTATCACACATAATAGGAACACAATTAAGACCTTTTATCATAGTCTAAAAGTTGATGCATAATCCATAGAACTTGTGTGCAGCACTTGCCTACAGCCAAATATTCTGCTTCAGTGGTAGATAGGGCAATACAACTTTGTTTCTTGCTGTGCTAGGATATAAGAGATTTTCCAAGTAATTGGCACGTTCCACTTGTGCTTTTCCTGTCAATTTTATCACCTACAGAGTCTGCATCTGAAAAACCTTTGAGATCAAAGACATTTAAGCTTTCGTACCATAATCCATAGTCGACTGTCCCTATCAGATATATGATAATACGTTCAACAGCAATTAAGTGGATTCCTTAGGAGCTGACTAATATCTTGCACATTTGCAGACACTGAACATAATATCAGATCGACTAGCCATAAGATTGAGTAGAGAACCAATCATACCCCGATATATTATTTCATCAACACTCTTACCATCTTTATCTTCATCCAGGGTGGTTGACGGACTCATAGGAGTCCCTATGGCCTTAGCATTGGACATGCTAAACTTTTTTATGAGCTATTTTGTGTATTTTGTTTGACTAATGAAAATTCCTTTCTGTACTTGCTTGAGTTGAAGCCCAAGGAAGAAGGTTAATTCTCCCATCATACTCATTTCAAATTCACCTTTCATGATGTTTGAAAAGTCCTTGCATAAAACAGGGTTAGTACTGCCAAAAATAGTATCATCTATATAGATTTGTACTATCAAATTACCTTCAGCCGATCGTTTGATAAAAACAGTAGTATCAATATTGCCTCTGTCAAACCCATGTTCGACTAGAAATGAACTTAACCTTTCATACCAAGATCTAGGAACTTGCTTTAGACCATAAATTGGCTTTGGATAATTTGTAGACATGATTTGCAAAGGATTCATTTACAAATCATGGAGACTGCTTAACGAATACTTCTTCAGAGATGAAACCATTTAAGAAAGCGCTCTTCACATCCATCTGAAATAGTCTAAAATATTTGAGCAGCATAGCCTAATAAGATACGAATAGATTCTAACCTAGCAACAGGAGCAAATGTCTCCTCGTAAACAATTCCTTCTTGCTGTGAATAACCTTGAGCAACCAGTCTAGCCTTATTTCGTACCACTTGTCCAGACTCATTCAATTTATTTCTGTACACCCATTTTATTCCAATAATGGATGCATTTGGAGAATTAGGAATGAGCTCCCATACTTTATTCTTCTCAAATTGGTCAAGCTCTTCCTTCATTACAGTTATCTAACTTTTGTCCCCAAGGGCCTCATCCACCATTTTGGTTCGAACGGAGATATGATGGCAATATTTGTTGTCTGCTAGAGTGATACCTTTCTGAGGTTTCCAATGATGTACTTATGTAGATATTCAAGATCACTTTTCCATTTATTTGGGACGACTGATACTGGCTCATTTTCAATAGGACTCTA